AGCTTCTCAGTGCTGTGCTTTAACCCGCTGCGCCACCAGGGAGGGCCCTGGATTTCTTTTTTTCATGCGAAGGTAGATTGTGAACCCAAAATGAAAAGGACAAGGTGTTGGCTCTCGGCGGCAGGCAGGCAGGCAGATCCCTCAGGTCAGACGGTTTCCAGCTCGTCTCCAGCCAGGAGGGGACCCAGGCTGCAGGGCAGCGGGGAGCCGGCCACGAGACCCCCGCTGGCCACGAGACTCCCACGCAGCCACAGCAGGAACTTCGCTGACGCACAGGCCAGCGGCGAGCAGAGGCAGACGTGGCTAGAGGAAGACAAAGTTTATTGAGGAGAAAGAGGGACAGAGAGGAGTGGGGGGGACAGAGAGGAGTGGGGCGCCCAGGCCAGGCCGGTGGAGCCAGCCCAGGGAGCTGGAGGGGCGCAGGGGAGCGGCCCCAGGGAATCGCCACCTCCCACCCCACCCCCCTCCGCCCAGGTTCCCCAGGGTCAGTCTCTGAGGATGGCGCGTGCCTGTGTCCGGCTCCCTCTGCCCGCGGTCTCGTGTCCACAGCTGGGTCCCATGTCCAGCCCTTACTCATTGTCGTCCTTGCTCCGGGACGTCCTGTGGCCCCCAGTCTGGGGTGTTGGGTTCACCCCCTTTGGGCCTGTGGCCCTCATCTCTGGAGCCTCCTTACTCCTCCGAGGCTTTTCCTACTCTGTGCTGACCCGGAAGCTGCCCGCTTGCCCTGGGACTCAGCATGGCAGCAGGAGACCAGGCGTCTGATGGGCACGATGGGGACTCAGGTGAGCCACTGCAGCGCGGGCCTGTTTCCTCCCCAGAGAAACCCCGCGAGGGGGTGGAAATGCTGCTGCCTCTCTCACAGACGAGGTGGCTGAGGCACAGCACGGTCAGACGACTTGGCACAGACACGTGGCCTCGGGCGGCAGACCCCTCGTCCACGCTCCCGGAGCTGAGCTACGTCTCGGCCACCGAGGTTGACTTAGAAATGAAGGGGACGGATGTGAGGGAGAGGCCCTGGGAGCCTGAGGGTTAAATGTCACCAGCCACCTGCTGCCTTTGATAGTGACAGTTAAATGCCCCAACTGCACGGAGAACCGGAGAACTGTGAGGGGTCCGTCTGTTTGCTAAAATGACTCCGCTGTGGCTAAGCAGAATGGGGAGGCCAGATCTCTCCGTGGAGAGTGCGTGGGCTTGAGCAAGTCAAAACACCTTGCCTGTGAATGTCGGGGTGCAGCCAGCACCATTAGTCAGCAGAGAAGTGGCAGCTGGGGGCGGCTGTGGGGGGCGGGCTGGTGTCAGAGGTAGGGGTCCCTGGCGCCCCCCTTCCCCACCTGCGTCTCGCCCCCTCTCGCTTGGCCAGAAGAAATTGCCGGTCTCAAGGGCCTCTTCAGGCCCTGGTGATTCCATCAGGACACAGGCGGCCCCCAAATCCGCCGAGTCTCCTAACGCAGGGCGCCGGGGGTCCCCGAGTAACGTCAGCCTCTGATGACCTCTGCTGACGTCACGCCCTGACCGGACTTTGGGTGCGCGTCGACTCCGGCTCGCGTCCTCCGCCTCAGGTCGTGCGCGGGTGCACTCACACTCGGGGCAGTCACGGAGACGGGGCGCACGGGCCTGCCAGGTCGGAACAGACCGCACCCCGGGAGCCGCTTCCCTGAGAACTGACCGCGCAGTCAGGGGCGCGCGTGGCCCGGGGTGGGGCGCAGGGACCCGAGTCCCGGGCGGGGCCAGTGCTGCGTGGGGGGCTGCCGAGGGGGGTGGGGGCGCTGTAACTGTCGGAAGTCAGGGGTGCTGAGGAGAGAGGTGGGGGGCGTCCGTGCGGGACAGGGGGTGACGTCCGTTTGGCAGATGCCGCCTCAACCGCCCACCCACGCGCATTCCCTGCTCACCCTGGGGGCTGCGCCGCTCCCAGGCCCTGGTCCCGCCCTCCCGGCCCCTCTGCTACCAGAAGGGCGGCCTCAGTTTCCCTCCGCCAATAAGAGGAAACGGGGTTTGAGAAGAAAAGTACTTTCATTTGTCCACAAACTGAGGAGGGCAGCGGTCTCTGTCTGAAAGACCTGGTCCTGGGTCTTTGGCCAGCGCAGGGGTGTGTATACAAAGGGTCAGAGTAAAGCCAGAGGGGCCGGCTGGGCCCTCTGACACCGGCCGAGGTCTCGCGGGCAGCAGCTTGCTCTGTCAACGCTGATGTGTGACTTCTGACCCTCTTAGGGGTGCTCTTCCCCAGGGAAGACAGCAACCTTGTTAAGTGCAGCCGGCAGGGATGCTTATCAGGTGTCTGTTCTGTTTCACTGCATTGACTCGCACCCAGCTGGGCCCCGAGCCCAGGGTCTCTCGCCTGTAAATGGGGACCCACTGACCTCCCTGCCGATGGTTAGGAGGGGACAGCCTTTGTCTCTTTCGGTTTTGACTGACTGGCTGGCCGCACCCGACTGTCCGGCATGTAGGACACGCTCACAAATACTCCTGGAACGAGCGAACTGTAGTGTCAGGCTGATTCCATCTCAGCAAGGCCACGGCGCCACGTGGTGCAGAGGAGAAAAGTGGCCTAGTGTCCCCATGGGCTTCTGCAGGCCGTCCTGGTCAGGTCACAGGGACAGGCCTCCTCTGTCCTCGCCGCGCCCTCCCCCCTTGGAGTAGAACCAGGCTGCTATCCCCATAATCGGTCCTGTTACCTGTGGGCCTGATAATTCTCTGCCAGGAATGTCTGTGGGTGTTGCCGAGTGCTCCCCGGGAGGGAGACGGTCACCGCAGTCAGGAACCCCTGGCTCAGAGCCCCCACTTGTCCCTGCTGTCACTGAGATTTGACACTGTGATGGGACACCCTAGACACCTGCCTTTTACAGAGGAGCTCTGCGCCAGAGGTAAATGCTCTCACACCCCCAAAACAGCCGGGGGAGGGGGCTCTCTGACGTGGCCCGTCGCCCGCGAGGCCCCTAGACGTGGGCCATGGTGCTCAGTCTCCCTTTGAGGTGACATACACAAGTGACAATGTGCGTTCACCGGCTACATAAATACCCACTGGGGAAGCGGGTTGGAACTTCAGACAGACACAGTTGACTCCACAAGGTTCTCACACCCCGAGAGGCCCCAGCTGCGGCTTGGCTGGATGAGGGACTCGTCCGAAACTGAGCCCGGAAAGGAGGCAAAGGGCTGGGTCTGCAGGGTGGGGGCCTTCGTGGGCAGCTCCTCCTGGGCCCGACATGGACGGGACTGAGAAGGACGGAAGAGAGGGTCCGTCACGGCCACGTTCAAGGCTCTTCCGAAAGGGAGTAACGCAGCTTACTCTGGAAGTAAATGTCATCACAGCCAGCCCACCACGAGCAGGGTTTTAGAATGGGCTGTCAGGCCGCCTCGTCCTTCCAGAAGGACACGCCCTGCCCACCTGCACAGCATCACAACGGAGGCGTGTTCCACACTGGCAGAGCCCCGTTTTCAATAATGGATTTAACACCCTCTCGAGAAATCTTTAAGTCCAGGAAGAGAAACATAATTGGAAGCCTGAGGCAGGGTCCTCTGTGGATTCAGGGTTTGTGTTTCCCTCCCCCCCCCCCAACATTTCTCTCAATGCCGCAGATAAAGACGCAAATAGAATGTTTATTAAGTTTTCACGTGACCCAGCGCTGAG